AAAAAGGTACAGTGTTGGGGGGCGGTGGAAAGATGGCTCAGGGGTTAAGAGCCCTGCCTGTTCTTGCACAGGACCTAGGTTCAGTTCGCAGCACCCATATGGCAACTAACAACTATATGAAACTCCAGCTCCAGGGAATCTGACACCCTCTTCTGGCCTCCATGGGCACTGTATGCTTGCTGTGCACTTAGCAAAACATTCATACACATAAAATAAAAATAAATTGAAAAAATTTTTAAAAAAGAGTCTTGGGTGAGGGTTCCAGCAGTTAATGGGTCATGTGGCTTTGATGTTGGGTCTCTCACTTCCCAGTACATAGAATCCTTGCTCTTAGGCAATACACCCTGAAGTGTGACATTGGCAATCTGTTAAGGAAAAATATGAATAGTGGACAGTGGAGGCTGCTGATAAGAGAAAGACATGTAGCAGAAAGTCACAATCAGAGGATCCAGGGAAGGAAAACAGGCATGCACTGAAGTTTCATATTTGTTGGTTTGTAAATATAAATTTTGTAGGTTGGAGATTTGTAAAATGAAAGAGAGAAGAGCCAGGCATGGTGACTCATGCCTGTAATCTTAGTGCTCCAGAGGCTGAGGCAAGGGGATCACTTGGAGCCTAGGCTACAGAGTGAGGCTCCCTGCTTACCCCATTCTTTATCCCACCCATATTTAATCATTTCTTGAGGGCTGTAAATCCCTCCCCCATGCATTCCTCCCTTCTGCACTGAGCACCTCCAGGCCAAGGGCACAAACATGTGCAAAGGATCTCAGATTTTTAGGACTTTAGCACCTGGGTGAGGGGCACTTATCATCCATTGGCAAGTCTGTTTTCCTCAGCCCTCCCCACATTATGAGCACCATGAACAGAGGCTGGGGTTCAGAATAACAAGTCTACTCCCTGAAATCAAACTTAGTGGGAGGAATGGGTTCAGACAGCATGCTGGGGTGGCCCTATGGGGCTTGCCCAGCACCCTTATGGCAGGTCTCCCGCCCCATATGGGCTAGCCCCTTACCTGAGTCAAATCAACAAACTTGGGGTCACCAAGCAAAGTCCTCTTGGCATAGGCAAACCGAAAGGCCTCCACAATACGGTGGTACGTCAGGGCCTTCTGTTCAGGGGTCGCCACACTCTCCAGAGAAAAGTTGTATCCTGAGTGATCAGAGCCAAGCATACATTGGCAGATAACTGGGGCCTGGAGGGGCTCAAGGGGCTAAACTCTGAGCCATGCTTCCCCACGTTCTACCTCAGGACGAGAACTACTTGGAGCTGAAGAGATGGCTCATCAATTAAAAGCACTGGCTACTTTTGCAGAGGACCTGGTTTCAGTTCCTAGCACCCACATAGCCACTAATAACCATCTGTAATTCAAGTTCCAGGGGATCCAATGCTTTCTTCTGGCCCCTGCAGGCACTGCATGCACGAGTACATTTGCATACAAGCACGCTAAACAAGTACTCATACACAGAAAATAAAAATGTTTAAAAAGAGAAATTCTTAATAACCAACAGCAGTAGCCACTTGAGAAAGATGTGATTAAGACAAGGGCACAGCAGCATGAACATCACAGGTGCAGCCCAAGGGTCCCAGGGTCTATGAATTCCTGGATGACCACTTAGACTAGTCAGAAGCACACTCAGGCCCTTGCCCTGAACTCCAATGCTTCTCTTCCTCCCGAATATCCCTCCTCTTCCGGCTGCTGAGTGTCATGCCCCCACCCCTACCCCTTGGAGAGCCCCGGCCATTCCACACTAAGGGCACAGTGAGGCAAGGCAGGCACTCTGTCAGTTCACAGATGGAAAGATGCAAGGCAGGGAGGCCCAGTAGTGATGGAACACCAAGAAAAAGAACCTGTGTCCCTGACTCAGCAAGGCTGGGGTGGGATGGCTCACCTTTGAGGATGTTCAAGATGAGAGCCAACACAGGCCCGCTGAGTGGGGCACTGGGCACATACAGCGTCAAATCCCCAAGGCTGATGTTTAGTGGGTATTCAATCAGCTCAGCATGGTATTCTTTCAAGTCCTCAGCTGTTATAATGCCCCCTGTCATGGGACAGTAGCTCAGTGGACATGCAATGGGATTGCATCATGGTTGGGGGTGGAGCTGTATCTTGAGGGACTTGGTTTACCATTAGGTAGAGTACAGGATAGAACCAAGGAGCCAGGCCATGAGTCCACTGTGGGGGCAGGGCTGTTCATGGAGGAGGCTGACCAGTGTCTGCACCATTGGGCAGAAGGACATGTTGTACCATAGTAAGGAGATGGTCTGTACCATCAGAAGGGACCACAGGGTCATCAACCTGGTAGCCCCAACCATCACTGAAAGCCCCAGACCCTAACAGTGCTTACCATCATCCACACCAGGTCCAAGCAGCATGGTCGGCCTTCTTCCAGCTCTGCAGCTAAAGGTCTTTTCCAAGTAAAGAATACCTGCTTCCACCCCACCTCTCCTTGCCATTCCCTTCCCTCCTTGTTGAAAGGGTGAATAGAAGAAGACTCCTGATTCTTTGGGTGAACTGGCTCTGAGTATGGGTACATGCCAGTTTCCCCCATTCCATGGAACAGGACAAGAATAACAGGAAAATGTCACAGCCAAGCCCTCAGGCTGCCCCACAAAGCCCCACTAGGGCCTCTCTTACAAGTTCTTCTTCTTGTAACCCTCCCAGTGAGTCAAAACCCCCCTCCTCCTTTGGCCCAACCTATTCTCTCTGTTAGGAATCCTCTTCTCTGTCTGAGCATCCTTGCAGCCCAGACACCACTTCTCATAGGAATCCTCCCAGATCTTCAGCCTCCACATTCCTGGCCCCAGTGGCTGCCTACACCCCCATTTCTCTCTAGAAGCTTTCTCTGGGCTGCCCAGGCTCTCTGGCTGAACCAGAAGCCATGGAGCCAGGTGGCCCATGCTAACCCTTTCCTGCTGAGTGCTCTCTGAAGACCCAGAGGCCTGTAGGGGCAGAATGGGGGAACCTCAGGGCTTAGGCCCCACTAATGATTGGTTCTTCACTCAGGTCTACTCACCAGCCTCCTGGATGTCCTTCACAATTTGTGCTGTAAGGCTTCCACTATAGAAAGCCTGGGCACCCTCCTGGGCTAGTGTCTGCAACGTTTCAGCCAGCCTTGGCATAGTCACTGTCTCTCCTTCACGAAGCACCTTCCCGTTCCGGCAGAACACCTCACTTGGGCAGAGAGGGCTCACATTGGGTGGCAGATAGGAAAAACCAGACCAAATATGCCCCACACTCACCCTCACCCTTTTTGCCCCTAGGGTACTGAGAACAAAGTATAGGTAGAGTCTATCTATTGGTGGGCTGCCCTGTCACTTGGAGCTCCCAGTGTCCCTTTTCACTCAGGCCACATGGCCAACCACAGTGCTCACGGGGGCCTCCTAATGCATCCATACACACAGTGGGAAGGGTTTGCACCTCCTCAACCCCCATCCCCCTGAGTATATAGGCTGACCACAGCTGACCACAACTCTACCAGCCCCTCCCGGGATGGGCTACAGGGACCTGGGGCCACCTACCACAAGGCAGGTGTCTGCTCAATCACGTCCTGTTTCCTGTTCAGGGCCATTGCCAAGCCCTTACCCACAGGGAAGCCATGGAGGGCCAGCTGGATGCTGGGCTGGAAGAGGTGAGCCCAGGGAAGCCGCCCATGCCGCTGGTGTGCTAGCTCATACCCACGGATCTCACCAGGAACTGCCACAGAAAGGCCACCTAGGAAAGGGGCGGGGGGAGAAAGGCTGGTAACTGGACTTATAATTCCCTTTTACTTGAGAGGCTGAGACAGGAAGACCTGAACTTTAAGGGCTGCCTGGGTTACAGAGGGAGTTCAAGACCAGCCTAAGCAGCTTAACAAAATCCTACCTCAAAAGAAAAAAAGAAAAAAGCGCTGGTTGGTCTGTAGCTCTATGGTAGAGTGCTTGCCTAGTATGGTTCTAGTACTGTGTAGGAACAAACAACAACAAATAAACAAAACATCCCAGACACTGTCCCTGACCCATTTAACAGATGGGGTTAGTACGGCTTAGAAGGAAAGGGATTTGTTGCTCATGTAGCGTCAGAGAGCAAATCCAGGACCTCCCATGTTCTAGACAAAGGCTCCACCACTGAGCTACACCCTCAGCCCAAGGAAAGGGAATTTTAAGAGCATATCTCAGCTCCATGGGCAAGAATGCAGTTTGAGCAAGCATGTCTCTCAGGGCACAGAAGGGGGAGCTAGTGGCCCATGTACTGGGGTTTGCTGTACCAGATTAGATAGTACCTCCATATGTGAATCCTGTGTCAGGCCTATGGTTGTCAGAGAAGGGGAAAGCTGGACCCCCTGCCTTCTGTTAGTCTGAGCTAAACCCAGTCACAAGACCTCTTGTCCCATAGGATTCCTGGGCTCCACCAGAACGTGTCAAAACAAGATCAAGCAGTTGGATGAACAGGCCCCGAGGCAAGGGTCTTCTTCCTCTTTTCTACTGACCTGAGCCCTACCTAGTCCCTCCCTTGTTCTCTTTCTGTGTCTCAGTTTATCCATTTGACCACAGTGGATCTTACCTTCCAATTTGTATCTTTAAGGAGTTCATGATTCCATTAGAAACAGACCCCCGGGGCCTGATTCCCCATCAAGCCCCATTGCCCACCTGGGCTGAGCTACACCAAAAGCCAGAACCTGACCCAGTGCGGGCTGAGAAGAAATAAGAGAAAAACCTACCTCTGTCCTCAGGATGATGGTTTGATCATTCATTACGGGAGGGTGTTATGGGGCCATGAAGGGGTAAGAGGGGTGCCAGAGCTGTCGCCAGGCCTTGGACAGGGACATGCTCCTGTGGGTAAGGCAATTTCCCTGTGGCTCCCCCTGGCTTTGAATCCACACCCAGGGCCCATATGAAGGCTTACCTTCTTCAGATTGCTTAGAGTCATTGAACATGTTGGCATGAGCCAGCTTGGGTGCCACCTCACGGGCATTGATAACCTCAGCTTTTCCTACAAGGAGATGTAGGTCGGCAGGCTGGACCAATCCCAACCCCTCCTGCCAAGAGAGGCCTGGGGTCACCCAGCTATGCTGCCCCAGCCTAGGTCACCCTGAGAGGAGATGGATGCACCAGGCTGCTAACCCTCCTCTCCCCAGGCACTCACGTGTGGTGCTGTTGTAGATGGTAAAGTACAGGCCGCCTCCGATGCCCATGCTGTGAGCATTCATGAGACCCATACACAGCAGGCTTGCGATAGCTGCATCTACCACCGAGCCACCCTCCTGAAGCATGTCCCTGCCGGCAGCACATGGGAAGGGGAGAGCCTGAGGGCTAATCCTGCCCCCTACCCTGCCCCCCTGCCTAAAAGAAGACAGAAGAGGAGTCCATGCCAGGCCTTTTTGTTTTGAGACAGGATCTCATACTGTGTTGCACTCACTATGTGGCCCAAGTTGGCCTCAAACTCTCAATCCTGTCTCATCCTCCTAAATGTTGAGATTAGAGGTATGAGCCATCACGTTCAGCCTTGCCAGGGTTTTGTTTTTTGTTTGTCTGTTGGGGTGTTTTAAGACAGTGTTTTATCCAAAAGGCTGGGATTACAGGTGAAACTTTTGGTTTTTTTAAAGATTTATTTTTAATTATACATACCCCCTCTACAAGATCTGCTGAGCCATCTCTCAGTTCTGAAATTTTTAGTGTTTGAAGAGATGGAGCTTTTGTTTTGTATTGTTTTGTTTTTACTTTTCCAAGCAAATAAAAATACATGACTTAATTGGGGAGGAAAAGGCTGTTTTTCATTAGTCATCTTTCTTTTTCTGCTTACATCCATAAGCAAGAACTGACTTGTATTAATGAGACAAGAATCTAAAGTGGGTGGAAAAGCAGCATTTATTAGAGACAGGACTATGAAGAGGGGCCCAAGCTGCTGTGGAAAAGCAACAACCTATATGCCACTGCTCCCTTCAGGACAGGCGACCGACAGAGCCCAAGGAAAGGACAAGAATCTCCATGTCCACTGGACATTCCTTGAGTCCAGTTTGCAAATCTGAGTCTTGCCTAGGTGTACTTGCTGGCTGTCTTCCAGGGGCCTTGGGTGCCCATCCCATGTCCTATCTCAACTGTGGCAGTCCCACTTACCTCCCAATCTCTGAGCAACGCTTAGCATCCGTGGCCACAGCTGCCCTGGGATACACATGGTCGGGCTTCCTAGAGGCGGAGGGTAGCCAGATGCAGAGGCCAATGATGACCAGTGCCAGAACCACGACCACCAGGCCCAGTACCACAAACCGATTCTTCATGTCTCTATTGCCCAGAGGGGAGGAATGGGGTCAGGTCCAGCCTTGGGCACACCAAGACCATCCCCCACAGGGCACAGTCTAAAGTCAAGCTTCAGGGATATAGCCATGTGTCTCCTTCCAGTCTCCTGGAATGGGGTGCCCAGCTCCCAGACCTTTGGCCAAGGCATTCCCTCTGCCAGGAGCTCCATCTCTGTTATTTCAAATCCTCTCTGTCCAGGGCTCGTCCTAGTATGGACCTCATGTCCAGCAGAGACCCTTCCTAAAAACCTTTCTGACTCCATGTGCCTTGTGTAGCTGCTCACAGCACCCAAGCTGCCACTGCCCAGCAGGAAGCTCCAGGAAGGACAGGCCTCACTGCAGTTCTTCTGTGTCCCTCAGCCCAGCCCAGAGCTTGGCACTGTCCATAGCCCCCCAGAGTGACCCGCCACAGGGCTCAGGTTTGGGCGTCTATCATACCCTCCAAGGAGCCACCCCACAGTCTAATGAAATAAGTAGACTAACTGCATAGGCCAGGACTTACCGTCCCACAGTAGGTCAGAGCCCCAAACCTTGTCTGGGGAGGTGGCCTCTGAAAACAGCTGGAGAGAAAACTGGGCTCTCCCTCACACTCTGCAGAAGCCTGTGGACAGTCTTCTCCAGAGACTCCTGAAGCAGGCAGCCTCCGTGTACTCCTGAAAATCACAAGGTTGGACCTGAAGCAGGCCCAGCTCTTTCCAGGGTGCTTGATGTGACCTCGCTCTGCCTCTTGCTAGTCTTCTGCCTCCTGATGAACTCTGGAACCAAAGAGGCTGCCAGCCGTGTGCATGTATGCATGACTTCTCCCAAGCACTGCCCAGGGAAGGGTCTCACAACAGGGCAGGGGGTGGCCCAGGCATTCATGTATAAGCCTGGAATTTGGCAATGAGTACATCATGTGAACATAGGGGGGTCAAAGGGCCAGACTTGCCCCTTTCTGAGGCTGGACTTGCTATTCAACCTGTTTGGGGGCTTCTCTGTCCAGCACTGACCTCACTTTCTGGGGTGTTTTGAATAAGCTGGGTGAAAGCATGTGAAATGTTAACCGGCAAGGCAGCTCACACCTGTAACCCAAGCACTCAGGAAGTCAGAGGATTGCCATGAATCTGAGCTATCTAGTGAATTCTAGGCTAGCCTGTGCTACAACTTGAGACCCTATCACAGAAAACCAAAACAGGTGGACATCTTGCTATTTCCTCCATAGATTTCCTTCCAGACTATGCAGAGCAGGAGATCTACAGCCTCAGAATCCCTGTGGCTCTGAGTGCAGGCAAAGGATGCAACCCCAAAAGGGAAGAGTGTGATAGCAGAGATGGGGTGCCCCTCACGCAGAGTCCATTCCCTCCAAAGGGTAACATCTATTGGGGCACCCTTCCGTGATGCCCTGGCTGCCTTCCCCTCTGGCTCTCCCTTGTTCAGAGCATCTGAACTCAGATCCAGACATGGTGTCCTGGACATGGTCTAGGAATGGAATCTCTATACCCTCCCCATGCCTAGGAGGACAGTACAGACCCCAGTATGGAAGGTTTTCTCTTCCTCGGGCTTTGTGGGTAGGGTGATAATGGCATGACAGGATTTGATGCATCTTAAGTGGGAAAGTAGAGATTTGTAGCTTTTGAAGGAGAGGGGCCTGGAAGGTGGTCATGCCACAGTCCACCACTCTGTGTCTCCAATAGCATCCCTAATAGCTGTCTTGCCTGAATCCAGACATGACTCTGACCTGTAGACACAGCCTTGTCCCTATGATCTCTCCTGCCAGCTTGATCCTCCAAGTGCCAAGCAGACACTGCCCAAGGGACAACCCATACCCTTCTCCAGACCTGAGCACACAGACACCCTGGGCCCTGGGATGAACCTGGGTCAGGGTCTAGGGTTCCTGGTAAGAAAGTCATACTAAGAGTTTGACGGGGCCTCAGGAGCCAGGCTAGCAACACGTAGCATCACACATTGCAGATGCTGGATGCTCTCATCCTAAGTGGTAGAGGAGGGACTGCACCTGTTCAGTGTTCCACTCCACAACCTCTGGCCTCTCTGGTCCACTGTGAGCATCTTGGGCCTCATTTCTCTCAGGTTCAGGACTGTGAGCTAAAACTGTTCTCAGGACCCTGAGTTAGTCCATCTGTGACCCCCAGGACACATTCCAGGCGCCCATGTCTACCAATTGATCCATCTGTCCATCTAACAGTCCTAGTAAGGATACCCAACAGGACTGCCACTTCCAGAGAGCCTGGGAGGGAAGTGGGCAGCACAGACCCCTGTCCCCTCCTCCTGGGACAGTGTGACAGCAAGGGCTGGCCCAGCCTCCTACAGACAGATGTTCCCCTCCAAGCGGAAGACACCCTGCTGGAAGCCTCAGCTTCCATTTCCCACCCCTCCGCCCCCAAGTTTTCTCAAAGACTCTCTAAAAAGAATGTGTAAGCCCAGAAGCCTGGCCCTCATCCAAGCTAGTGTTGGGAAGGGAAACCAAGGCAAGAGAGTGGATCAGGCATGGCTCTGGCCTCAAACCCAGACCCTCCCTTGTAACCCTAGTGGGTTTACCTGAGACCTAGGAAGCAGTGGGGGCCCAGAAGAGAGCCCCCTTTTTCTCAGAAGACAGTTCTAGGCTAAGGAGGAAGAGACAGATGGGTCTGAAGGAGGAAGTCCTGGCCATAGGACTACCCCCACCCAAGCAGCTAGAGTCATGCCTGTGGCTGTTGCAAAACTTCCCAGCACCCCCCACCCCCAATTGTGATCAGGAGCTGGGGTTGGGCATCTCCTCAGGGCAGAGGCAGTAAAGGGACAGTAGTGGCCAAGGACCCAAGCGCTTACCTAGTCCCAGAAGGGCAAGAGGTCAGCTAGGGGGCACCCAGCATCCCAGAAGGGTAGCTGGAGGCTTCTGAGTAGGGTGTGGAATAGGCAGTCCTCTGCAAGAGGTCCAGCCGGGCTAGGAGGAGGGTCGACAACACGGACACACTGACGTCACAGCAGCGAGGAAGCGCAGCAATTAAGCTTGTCACCAGGTGACTAAAGTTCATGCAGCCCCAGGAGGGCCCTGGGCGGGAATGGGGGAGGTGCTAAGAGCCTGAGATAGGGGTTCCCTTCAGGGAGCAGAGGCCACCGGTGAGTCCTTCCTGAGAGCCCTTGCTGAGTCCCTTTGTGGTTTTCCCTGACCCTGTTCAGAGTTCTGAGTTCAGAGACAGACGCAGTGTCTTTCAGATGCCTCTGAGGCAGTCGGTGGAGCAGGGGTGTCCCAGGCAGTAGACCATAGCCCAGACCTAAAAGATCTCATTGCACCCTACTGGTCAACACCAGAGATGCCTCCCTGGAACATGGCCTGGGGCCTCAGTGTCCAGACCGGTTCAACAACTAATCAAGGAACATTAGCTCCTAACAGCCCAATCAATGACAGGACCAGCCTAGAAAAGGAAGGCCCAGGGAGAGCCAGAGTTGGCCCAAGGTTACATAGTCCAGCAAGGTAATCCTGCCACCAGTACCTGCCTCAAATCGCTGCGTGTCTCTGATAGCTCACCAAGAAAGTTCCCACTAGAAGCAGTTGTGGGTCTGCCCGAAGGGGCTGTGGACAATTTCCTATTCTGCCAAGGGGAGAAGCCTTACCATCCCACCCCAGCACACAGCATAGTGAGCTCCCTGTCCTCAGCAATGTACAAGCCTCATTTACCCTCCCAACACACACACACACACACACACACACACACACACACACACACACACACACCACAGCTTCTTCTCACAGATCCCCCCCCCCCCCCCCCCCCACACAGCATAGTGAGCGCCCTGTCCTCAGCAAGGTACAAGCCCCATTTACCCTCCCCACACACACACACACACACACACACACACACACACACACTGAGCAAAGTCAAGGCTGAGTAGAGTCCCAAGGTGCAGCAGAGAAGGGACAACAGAGACAGATTGGAGTTTCTCTGATAATCTTCCAACAGACCCACAAGGCTGAAGAGTGCCACATAATCCCAGAGCTACAGGACTCAAACTGGGTGCCATCTTAACCCATCTAGTGGCAGGAAATCTAAGCTTAGGCAAAAGCAATTTGCCCAAGAGCAACTGGCCTGGGAGGCTAGCTGACCCCAGATGGGCCAGGACCCTTCTTCCACTCTGCCTGCTTGTGAAGTCACCTCCCCTGGGTATGAGAACACAGACCTCTGTGGTGTCCCAGTCCTGCCCGCACCCTGATGAGGAAGACACTTACTACTCCCCAGACCTGAGGTTGAAATTTGCCTCCCTTGCTACCCAACCTGGTGACACAGGTTAGAGAATCAGAAAACAAGAAACAAAACCCATAACCCTGCCCTTCCTGGGGCTTGAAAATCACAACTTACAGGAAACCTGTTAAAAGAGCTCAGTGTGCCTAAGGACTGACTTAGAGGTGACAGAGCCCCCCTGGAGTTGGGTAATGACCATCTGCACAATGGTTCCTGCCCCACCCCCACCCGGAACCCAGAGAGGGGCAGACATAGCTGGAGAATACAGTGCCTCTGGAACACAGCTGGGCCTCCACTCCAGGGCTGACCATTCCCCACCAGGATTGCCAGGCCCTCCTGGATCTCATTTGCTCCATGCTGCAGCCCTCATTCAATTCCAAGTCCACTTCCCGAGAGCCAGGGTTCAAGAGCTTCTTAGGAGTCTGATGGATCCACTCCAAGCCGCCTACCATCCACCCCACACCTGCAGCAGAGTGAGTTGGTAAGTCTAAGCAGGCTCCCTCAAACCCACCTATCAATCAGAAATAGGACCCTGCCTACCTGTGTGATCCCAGAGGGATCAGTGCACAGTAGCGTGGCGCCCTTCACCCAGAGGTGCAGTGTACTCCTGCTGCGAAGGTGTCTAAACCAAGGCTCTGACAGGATCTTCGCTAGAGCTGCATGGCACAGCTGAGAGATAAACCAAGCCTCTTCACATACTCCATACTCCTGAGGCCCCCTGAGGTCTGATTTGCCCCACCAGTGATGTCCAGCAGCTCAGAGAGGGTGAAGAGGGCTTTGGGGTCACACAGCAGCTGGGACACAGCCAGACACGTGCTGTGCTCACCTGATTCCAAGTCCCTCACCAACAGAAAACAGTCCGCATCCCCCGCTGTGACCCAGCTCCTCCCTTCCCTCCCCCTGCTGGCCTGGGATGGGAGGAAGCTTTAAAGGTACAGAAACTAGTCCAGGTAAGGAGAGGACCGGCTCCCAATCCTAACCCAGGGGCCTTGTGACCTGGAACTGCCCCGGGTCTCTCAAGAGTCTGGGAGGTTCCCAATGAGAAACTTGAGCCCAGAGTTGGGGTGCAGCCAGCTACCCTATACCAGTAGCAGCTGTAGGTGGAAACTTCTGAGGCCCCACAAGGCCTAAGGAGCATATGTTTCCCTCTGCAATTCCCAGATACAGGATGGTCCTCTAGACTCCCTGGGCCACAGAGGAAGGGAGGGGCTGACATGACAAGGATCCAGTCACCTGGACCAAGGGAAGTCCCATGAACAAAGAGTCTCCTAATGCCCAAGCTTCCTAGGACAAGGGCAATCAGCCTGACGGAGGACACTTGGTAGCCCTCACCAGCTTTGGCCCATTGAATGAAATAGTGTTGGTGTCCCACAGAGGGGAAATCCAAGACTCTAGGTCTGAATAGTTTTTTGCCTGCCAGAATTGCTTTCATTATTATGGTTACCAACTTCTTCTCACTCAGTCAGTCCCTCTCCAACTACTTCTAGCCCCTCTGAATTCTTTCCCCAAGAAACCACCATTCTGACTAGAATTATGATCATGTTCTCTGGGACTGTGAGATGACTCACTGGGTAAGAGGGTGGAAGGAGAGAACCAACTCTCACCAGTTGTACTCTGACCTCCACACGTATACATACACACACACACACACACACACACACACACACACACACACACACACACACACCAAGGAGTTCAGGGACAAGCCCATGATTATACACACACACACACACACACACACACACACACACACACACACATACACACACACACGAAATAAATGTAAAAAAAAAATAGTGCTCTCAGCCAGGGAGGAGGAGCCAGGACCTGGAGGAAGGGATAGACACAGGAACGGGAGCCTCCGGAAAGGATTGCAGCTGAGATTGGATTTGGGAGGATAGCCATGCAGAAGGAACCCTGTGAACCTGGAGGCTGGACTCTTGCAAAGACAGTGATGGATGGCTCCAGGGCCCTTCTGACCTCCTTGGACCCTCTCTGAACCCTGAGGTGTTAAAGCTGGAAAAGGAGGTGGCCGAGCCTAGACCTTGAAGGCCAGGCCAGTCTGGACTTTGAGAGTCCTGAGAGGCTGGTGAATATATCACCACAATGGGTAACCCATTAACCCTGGCTTGCTCATTAAGACCCTGGTGGATGCTCCTTCACTCCTTGGCCAAGTTCCCAGAGGTGGGTGGAAGGCAGCTATGGGAAGAAGGGAATATTGGTGGCCCCACAGATGAGGGCTGGTTGGGCTAGACTTTCTGTGTCCTTGTCCCTGAAGGAGCTTTTCTGTCCCGGGCTAGCCCGGGGGTGCCACACTACCATCCCTGTGCCTTTCATCCAACCATTCCTTCTGTGCTGACACCATGGTGCCTTGGGGGTCTGGCCAGACAGACAGGAGACTTAGGGAACCATCTAAGGGGAGGTTCACCCCCCCAAAAAAAATCTTGGAAAACAAGTTACTACTGGTAAAGCAAGATTAGTGTTGTCAGTACAGGAAAATAAATGCTGGGGGAAGAGGGGTGTCCTGCCTACTCAGCAGGACAGGGACCTAGATAACAGAAGACTATGTCAACCACTTCCTGAAACTGGTATCTCATTGGGCCTTTCACCTCACTGTCAGGTCGAGCACTGACCATGCCTGCATGCCAGGAAGCCTCCAGTGGATAAGGCTCACACCTAAGGGCTGTGGCATCCTAAGCTAGAGACTGTCTTCAAGGAAGCAAAGTGGGTGGGTCCAGATGCACCTTCCTCATGCTCTAGAACTACTGGGACAGGATCTTGGCCACCCCCCAGCCCCCACCCAGAAGTCAGGAAGCATGAAATCATCCAGGGCATTTTATGTCCCCACTTAGTAAACTGATGGAATAAAACTGACTTCAAATCCAAACATCATAGTGATTTAATCAACTTTAGGATCACAGAATCTCAAATGTTTGCTCTGATCTTCCAACACCTCAGAAATGTCAGCTTATACATCTACCCTGATGGGAAGCTCACCACCCTGAAAGGTGGGTGGGTTGGCAAGTTCTTCCCAGAGTCAAGCTCCAGCTTGCCTCTTATAATGCCTTCTGCGGGCTACAAAAGTCAGCCCATTTTTGGTGGGTCTGGTCTCAGACTCTGCTTACTGTCTAAAGCCACAGATCAGAGCGGCAAGGAATGCTCATACCCTGTGGCTACCTGGCCATAGGCTCTCAGAATCACGCAGACCACAAAGACTAGATGGGCTAGTGCTACTCAGTGGTGGTGAGAAGGCTGGCTGACCACAATGTGAACAGAACTGTGCTCCCAAGCCCCAAGCCCGACTAGTACCCTCTGGTACCTTCCTCCAGTTCAGCACCCACCTTTGATGTGGATGGAGCCTGGGTTTAGCCAAGTGTATGGGCCTCCAGAGTGTCAGCACGTTAACGTCTGGGAGCATCCAGCAGCAGGGCCAGCCTGGTACCTGGTCAACCAAGTCCATCTCCAAAACTCAGGTATAGAATCACTAAGATGACATAGGCTCTAGAGTCCCCAGTTTCAAACCTGACTCCACTGACCAATAGAGTGGGGATCTGAGAAGTCTCCCCCTTTCTGGCCTCAGTTTTCATCCTAGAAAGGATGGGTAACTACAAGATTCACTGAGATGGACATTCACAGACCACAGGAGACATCCAAGCTCTCCAAAGCCTCCATCTCAGCCTGGCACTGACACTCAGGTATGAAGTTGCCCGTCTTGCCTGGTGAACAACTTGGAGCTGAAGCCCAAAGTGCCCCCTTCCTGGCTACCCTGCCATCCCTACCCACCAAACCCTCTCCAGGTGGTATTTATTGTGTTACCTAGTTATTATCTGCTGTGTCTGGGAGCTCCAGCCAACTGGGGGAGGAAGCCCGTCTTTTCCATGGCCTGGTCCTCGCCCCATCACATGTCCTGGTCTCCAGGAGAGCCAACTCCCATCTCACAGCCCTCTGGGTCACAGGCCAAGCCTGTCTGGTCACCCACAATTCCCTGTGACCTCATTGGTCCCAAACTGCCCAACACTTTCCATACACACCCTGCTTGGCTTACCCAGGCTTCCAGAGTTCCTTTCCTCTTTGTAGCAGTTCCTCTGCCTCCCTCACCTTTTGGATGCTGGACTGTTACAGTATGCATAAAGAGTCCAAGTCTGAGCCACTGGCTGTGTCAGATGCCCCAGGTCAACATGCCCAAACCTGAGCTAAGCAATTGCCCTCTCTAGACCTCTGCCAGTCACAGGAGCCAGAGTCCAGCCCCTCAGTGGCCACCCCTGCATCCTCACTGGTTCTTTCCAGTTGGTGCTATCTGTGACCTCCTCCCAGCCACACCTAAACACCCCCCACCCTCCAGGCTCCCAAGGGCCACTCCTATCACCTGGTGACTCCCAGTCATAGACTACAACCTTGCCACTGTTTCCCTAATGTAGCTCTGGGTGCTCAGCGTGCAAATTGGAGCAGTTCCTCCCCCCACCCCCTGAAAAACCCTTCAAAGGCCCTCTTTGCCCTGCAGAGAAATTCTTGCCTTGCTGGTGCCTGCCCTTCCCACTGCACTCAGTGCGCCTGCCAGGACGTTTTGTAGGCTACTGCCTCGTCCTTCAGACCTCAGCCTCAACGCCACCTTCCTAAACCTTCATTTGCTCCCAACTCTATGGGCAAGCTGTCATTACGCTTTAGTCTGGGCTGCATCTGACAAGGAAAAGTCGTATTCTTATAACTAACTGTATTCTTATACAATGACCTTGTAAGCGTAGGCTATTTGAAGTTTCCTTTGTTTTACTTACTGGGTAAATACCTTGAAATGTAACCCCAGGATGCTCAGAGATACCTTATTGCTCTATGATGTTTTCACTACCCTGCGATGTTTTATTACTCTGTAATATCTTGAAGCTCTGCAATGCTTTCCACTCACTATGTCTGTTGATAAAGATGTAAAACTAAGAGAATGAAAAGTTCACCATTGTTTAATGAAGCACCTGGTCCAATTAGTCCAAGAAAAGTGTAGATCAAACATATCAGATATATCTAAACTTCTGCCAGTGATACCTGTTTTTATAAACTTGTAATGACCATTTGACCAGGTCCTAGTCCAATTAGCCTGGGCTAGCTATAAATCAAAAGGCACAAATGTCCTGACCCATGCCTGGGATAGCTTACATAAAGTATGTAAGCTACGTTGGCTGAGTAAAGACTCAGGAAGGAATTTTCCTGAGATAACATGGCCCATCATAAAAAGAAAGATAGGGCCCAGGTGCAAACCATGAAATGATGATGTAAAATTGACTATTTAATCCTCATCTATACTTCATTCAGGGCCCAGAGCATCTTGAATGAAGCCTTTGTTGCTAGTCTGGGTCCTCATGCATGGGTAAGGGATAAACAAGATTTCCAACTCTCCTGGGTGAATGCTTGGTCTCTTAGCTGTTTGTAGAAGTCTTCCTTAACACATTCACAGTACCCACAACCATTGCTGAATGGATGGATGCTGACTGTAGGGTGGATGGGAGGGCACAGTACAAAACCATAAAGTGGGACTGGGGTGGCTCAGAGGTAGAACAATTGCCTAGTGTGTGCAAGGCCTTGGGTTAAAAAATCTCAGTACCAGAAAAAAAAAAAAAGGAAGTATAGAAGATCCATTACTTAAAACAAAACAATGCCAGGCATGGTGACACACGCCTTTAATCCCAGCACTCGGGAGGCAGAGGCAGGAGGATCTCTGTGAGTTCAAGGCCAGCCTGGTCTACATAGTGAGTTCCAGGACAGCTGGGGCTACAGGGAGACCCTGTCTCAAAAAGACCAAAAAAAAAAAAAAAAAGGAAAAAACCCCCCAAAAACTAGCACACACTTGCAGCACCATTATGTAGCAGCCACTTTTTACTCATAATGTCCCTAATCCTACAACACCTTCACCAGGTAGACACTATCTCTTCCTCCATTTTACAGATGAGGAAACTGAGGTTTGCAGAGGCTTCTGTAGTGGGTTAAATCATGTTTCCCCCCATTACCAAGTTTATGTTCACTTGGAAGCACAGAGTGTAACCTTATTTAGAAACAGTCTTTGCAAGATAATTAGTTAAGATGAGGTCATACTGGATTAGGGTAGGCCCTAAATACAGTAATTAATGTCCTTACAAGATGGCCATGTGAGCAGCCACACAGGGAAGGTTGCCATGTGGCAATGGAGGCTGAGGTTGGAATGATGGGGCTATAAGTCAAAAAGCTCCAAGAATTGTCAGGAGGCCCCAGAATCAGGAAGCAGCAAGGAAGGATCTGGTCCCACAGTTCATAGGGAGCATGGCTCTGCTGACATGTGGAATCCCAGCTCCAGTCTCCAAAATTTAGAGAGGATATATTTGTGTTGTTTTAAGCTGTTGAACTTGTGGTAATTGGTTGTAGTAACCACAGAAAACAAATATTGCTCCCTACATCCTCTGTGTCTGTACACCCAGCAAAGGGCAGTCCAGGAAATATACATCCTGGTCTTGAGCCTATACCTAGGACACAACACCCCATGCCCTACTGCCTCTTTTACCTCTGTGGCAATTCCTGCTGAGGCTGAGAATCAATTCCTAACAGAGCAAGCTCAGGGAAAATTTGTCTCCCAGGGGAGCACAACTGTAATCCCAGCACTTGGGAGGTGAATACAGAAGGATCGGGGGTTCAAGGCCATCCTTGACTACATGATGAGCTTGAGACCAGCCTAGGCTATGTGAGACTCCAAAAACAAACATAGCAGCAGCAGCAGCAAAAATTTCTGTATCCTTTGCCATGGCTACCAGGAAGCTCTGATTCACCTGGTTATTTGCTGAAATAACATGAGCCTTGTGGTGACCTTCTTCCTCCTGGGCTTGGATTTTCCCATTGGGTGGATGGAGAAAGCCCAAAGGTGGGGCCAGTCCAGACCTAGCCCCAACTGTAGCCCTTCACCCTACTTGCTGGGTCACTCAGACCTTGGTTCACCGTCTCTCCAAATGGGCAACTACGTGGGTAGCCAAGTAGTGTGGAACGCCCAAGGTGTGACTGCCACCATTACCTGTCTCTAGGCAGGTCCCATTGGAGGCCTCATATGTCTCTATCAAGGCCTGATTCTAACGGTGTCCCCCATCTCCTACCCCACTGGCTCACCAAGGGTGGCAAGGCTGCCCTGAAGGACCCAGTGTCAACTCTCTGGGCTCCACATCATCCCCAGAGATTGAGATGGCAGCCCTGCCCCAACACTGGATTGCCACAAACACTGCTGCCCAGGGCCACACCAGGGAGAAGGGCCAGCAGCCTTTAGTTCGGTATGAATGGAGGCTGGTGTGATGGAATAATGTCCCCACTCCTGAGGGGACAACTCTGTCTCTGGGAGCTCCTGTCCAAGTCAGGTTAAGCCAGAAATAGTCCTAAGAACCAGTTCACCTAGGTACCCTGACAGCATGCTAAGGAAAACTTATCCAGAGATGTGGGTCCAGATACCACACTCTCTTTTCCTAGGGGGAAAAAAAAGTCTTCCAGGAGTCTCTCAGTGGGAGGGACATAGAGGAGGGGCTGGTTGTCTTCTTGCCACAAGACTAAGCTCTCGGCATCCCTCTTGTGCCACTGCCCCGCTCACTCCTTTCCTGCCCCATGCTCAGCCCTCCATTCCCTCTCCTCCCCACGGGCCTCCACCTTAGCCTTCACATACTCCAGGGTATGATGCCTAGTTCTGGCTCAGTCTCTGGGAACAACATGCCAGGATCTGGGAGCCATCCAGGTCTGGCTCCAGCTCTGAAGGTGCAGGGAGGAAGAGGAGGAGGGCTTACCTGGCTGTCAGCTCTGGGCAGAGGGTCTGAGAGGTCCCTAGGGGCACTTGGACTGCTGCTCAAAACTCTGGCTCTCACACTGTCAGTTCAGCAACAGCTTTCGACTTGGGGGAGGGCAGGCTGGGCAGTCATGCAGGTTTGCCAGGGAGGAAACCTGTCGTGCCAAGGTGGCCCCAGGACAATACTGTTGCAGAAGGGTAGGGGCAGAGGCTGCTGGGGAAAAAGAGGCCCAGGAATCAGCCTAAAAGTGGTTAGGGGTATCAGTGAGTGGTCAAGTGACTGTACAGTCTGTTGACTTTGGCCTTGTCTAAGGGTCTCAACCCCAGAAGATCACAAAACCTGGTATGCTGTCTTCCAACGGCCACCTCCAGACTCTGGGCAAGCATACTTGACTCAAAGGAAGGCTCCTGGCCTGCATCCCTCACTAAACACTCTGGGGCAGGTCTCCCTTCACATGCTACAGCTAGGCTGCACACTTCCCTAACCAGACACAAGCTGGACACATGCTCCTTGACCACAGGAGTGGGCTGAAGCCCAGAGCCACAAATGCCCACTCCCAGGTCATGTGAGAAGCCTAGAACTGGGGTGAGGTGGGGCTGCAGGAGCAGCAAGCCTCCGAACAGGGACTGTTGAGGGAACCCTGGGACGTAGGGACCCCACTAGAGCTAGATGACCCAGAGGAGCTCAAACCTGGTCCTCAGAGCATCCAGGAACCCCTCCATCCACCACTGCCCTTTGTCAGGCAGGAAGATTAGAACCAGACACATATGCAGCTCTGGTGTCAGTCAGGCTGACCAGAGCTGGGCTTAGCTTGCTTATCTCTCAGACAGGAGTCAGAGGAGGCATACTACACTCAATCTGCCCAGGTCTGTCCTGCCTCCCCTTAAAACTGGGAGTGCCATTCAGGATTTGCCAGAAGCTAGTAGCATCACACTAGCAGGGCAGCTACAACTGCACTGCAGAGGCAATTCCTGAAAGCAGGTGCTGGCATTGCCCGGAGCGCCTTCACAGGTCCGAAGCGCTCTTTGCACAATCGGGGAGACTGTTCCTGGAGACAGCACTGGGGTCAAATGTTTGGGAGGTGCCAAAAGGCTACCTCGTCTAGGATGGGTTCAGCGTCTCCCCTGACCGTCCTCTGGAAGAGCTCCAGCGCCAGGTCCAATTCAGGCGGGGCCCTCCCCAGCGCGACTTCTGCCAAAGAGGAGTGGCCCTGGCCCCCACGCTGGCGGCCAGTGCCAGAGCGCGCAGCCGTAGACTTGGCGCTGCCCACCCCGCGCATCCCGGGCTGGGCCCGGGTGGGTCCGGGAGGGCCAGGGCGGGGCGCAGAGCAGACAGCTCGTCTCCTGCCCGCCCTCCGGCCTGGCGTTAGCCCGCAGCGGCCATGGGGGCGCGGCTGGGCCGGCGAGCAGAGCCGGAGGCGGGCGGAGAGTCCCCTACGGCGGCAGGCGGAGGGCCCGCGCCCTACAAGCGCCGAGTGCGCTGGCTGCGCGAGATCCAGTCCACGCTCCGCGAGCGGCGGCCCGAGCGCGCCCGGCAGCTGCTGCGCCTCCTGCGCCAGGCGAGAAAGGGAGCGGGCAAGCACCGAGTGGGGACCAGGGTGGAGCTGGGGCTGCGGGCACGGATGGGTTCCTAGCGCATGATGAGGATGAGTTTCGCAGGCGCTGAGGTTCTTGCCTTGGAGGGAGGACACCGGTTTGAGGGTCAGGTAGGGCTGGCGGACTGCGCGCAGAAGAGGGGGCTGCTATGTTGGGGCTCTGGAATTTAAAGTCTGGGGTGTGTGGGGTGTGTGTGTGTGTGTGTGTGTGTGTGGTGTGGGGTGTGGTGTGTGTGTGGGGTGTGTGTGTGTGTGGTGTGGGGTGTGGTGTGTGTGTGGGGTGTGTGTGTGTGTGGTGTGGGGTGTGGTGTGTGTGTGGGGTGTGTGTGTGTGTGGTGTGGGGTGTGGTGTGTGTGTGGGGTGTGTGTGTGTGGTATGTGTGTGCACGCACGCGCTGAGAGGGCCTGGAGCTAAGACCCTGCATTTGGGCCTTCCCAAGACTGGAGAGGAGTGGATATGGGACATCTGTACTGAAGGACAATGGGAAGAGAGCAGTTTCCCCATTCTCCAGAAAGAGGAGGAAGCCCTGTACCAGGGAGAAAGGGCCCTGGGAAGTACAGCCCAGCTGATCGGGAGTGCGCTAGAAGCCAGACACCATGACACCCCAGACAAAGCCACAGGGTGCCACACATCCTAACAGGCAGCCTGAGTCCACTGAGAACGCAACCACATCAGTACATCACAGAGACACATCTGGTCCCTGTAAGACACATCTGGTACTATAGCCATAGATCCTGAGTTCTGAGTTGTCCCAGCACCACCTCTGAGTAAACCATTTCCCACTCAGCATCATCACCCTCTGCAGTAGCTGCGTGTATTGGGCCTGCAGAAGGTAGATGTTTAGAGAATGGGAAAGTGAGAGAAGTGAGGAGTCAGGACCTGGACAGAAAACCGAGAGAGGGGAATAGGGATGTAGCTCAGTGTTGGAGCATTTGCTTAGCATTTGGGAGGCCTGAGTTCTATCCCTAGCACTATAAAAAAGAAAAAGAAAAGGGAACAGAATGAGCCAGGGGAGGCAGAGGCAGGTGGATCTCTGTGAGTTTGAGACTAGCCTGGTCTACTTGGCGAGTTTCAGGCCAGCTGTAGCTACAGGGAGACCTCGTCTCAAAAAACAAAACAAAACAAAAAAAGAGGATGAGCCAGGCAAGGCAAAGTGGTATATGCCTGTATTACTAACACTTGGGAGGAAGAGGTGGGAGGATCAGGAGTTCAAGGTCATTGGGTCATTCTTAGCTTCATAGCAAGTTTAGGACCAGTCTAAACTATTTAAAACCATTAGAAAGAAAGGACAGGAGGTGGGAGGGGGAGAAAAGAAGGAAGCAACAAAAAGAGAAAAGAAAGATCACAGAGAATGAGCCAGGGCCAAGCCTAACCTCCCAGTCCTCTCCTCCTTCTCATCACACACTGGGTCGCCTCTCTGTGGGCTCAGTCTGGAAGGGTACAGCTGTCACTTCAAGAGGAGTTGACCAGACCAGAGAAAGTAGACTGCAGTCTGGAGCTCTGTCTGGGTCTGCCCAGACTCACCAGCCCCCTTCCTTCTGCTGGATCCTCCCTAGCTGGCATCTGTGGCATGAATCATATTGGAAATACAAATAGCTGAGTGACCACTGAGCAGCACCCAAGGCAAGCAGACTGTCCAGAGGCACAGATCTATCTATGATGGTGTCTGGATCCCAAAGCACTGACTGGTCTTTTCCCTGGAGCATCAGGGAGGGAATAGCCTTCAGAAACTAGCTAGGTCCCCTTTTTGTGTCCCAGAAGTTGAGATTTGGGGCATAGCCAGGAGCCTATCCTGTGCCTTAACCTACAGGGACTCTGCAACTGAAGCCCGAGGTGTTCCTGTGTGGCCTGACTTCCTGTGTGCTCAGGACTACACAGGGAATGCCATTCTCTGGCTTGGGGAGGACGGGTGAAGGCTGAATGATCCTAATCTGTCAGTATGTCCTCTGAAAGGACACTGTGAGATGTTCACCACACCTATGAGAGAAACAGGAGAAGACCAAGGAATTAAGGATCTAGAGCCTGGGTCCCAATCCAAGGGTAGGACAGATGAAGGCTGGTAGGCAGGGGAGGGTATGATGGCCAAGTCCAGGGAATTATGACTCTGTAAACTCTGTATGTCTCTGATGGCACACGACTTCTATTGTTTGGTCTCCACCAGTGGAGTGAAAGGTGAAGCTCAAACATGTTTCACAGAGTGGCTCTTATAACCCAGAGATGGATATGGAGACCAGGAAGAGGCAACTAGGTGTGAGGCCTGAACCTTGGCAGTAGCAGTAGGAAGAAGACCTACTTGATGAGCTGGGGAGAGAGAAGAAGGGAAGATGGCTAGGTGAAGTGGTAGACTTGGTGGGCCCCCTACTGAGATGGGCCATAAGACCTAAGGCCAGGAAATGAGCAGGCTGAGTCTGGACTGCCTTTGGGGGACATGAATTGGGAAAGAGCCTCACTCCCACAGGAAAGCAGATGGTGGCACAATTCAGGAAGCCTTAGGGATAGGATGGAGACAAAGGACTTGAAGGGGATGCTAGGGGCACCAGCATGCAAGGTTATCAGAGGAGCAAAATGTCACAGCAAGAAACTTCACTTCTAATTAGTGTGAGTAATCTGCTCATTACCCCCCTGAGACTCTTGCTATACCTGCCCCCCTCCAGACACTTGGCTCTCACCACCTGTGGGGAGGTTTCAGCAAGCCTCAGAGTGGGAAACATGGGAACCAGTGAGGGGTGTCTTCTGTCTGGCCTGGAGAAGGGGAACTCTGGCCCCTGGCTTATTCAACTAACACTTCACTACCTCTAGGACCTGGGCCTCGAGGGGAACCTCCTCACTGACATCCTCTACAGGAACGTGACTTTCCTGAATCTGGTGGACCCCATCTCGCATGACCTGCTGGTGAACCTGGCCCGGGACCTGCAGTGCCCTAAGAAGGTGAGGTCAGCAGGCATAGGCCCCAGGTTGGGTGGTATGGTTGACATGGGTTAGGAGCTTGAATTCTCATGTAGCTTGCTGTGCAGTCTTAGGCAAGTCATTTTTTTCCTCCTTGAGACCAGCTTCAGGAGCAGGTGTGATCTGTGCTTTGCCAAACCTGAAAATCACATTATTGAGTAGACCTGTTTCCCAAATGGTAGAGCTGTGCACCAGGCCCATTGACTCTATCTGAGCAGAAGACATAGAGGGACATGGGATAGAGACTGTTCTAACAAATACACTATCAGAACTGGACTCTTGTTCCTAGGTCAAAGGAGAGTCACCCTAGACTGGGGCTGGGTCCCTCTCCATGAGTCTCTATCCTGCTTAGACACCCGTGGGGCTGGGGGTTCACTGTGTCCCTTCTATAGCTACTTGGGCCAACAACTTCCACCTCATGCTAAGTTGAAGTCTACTGCCAGCAGCTTCCACTGCCCTGGGCCCTGTTCCAGCAGTACCTGCAGATGTGCCATTGTGAATGAGGATATTGTACTGGCCTGAGTATCTGTGGTCAGCCACCAGCCCCTAAGCCCTGAACATAATGAATCCCCCCACATAAAATAATGGTGTCTACTATAGGCTCTTTCAGCTCTGAACCCCACATCTGTACTCAGCTGGCTAATCCACAGCCATCCCAGTAACCACCAGCTCTGCTGTCACTGTGTGTATCTCATGCTCTGGGGGCTGCTAGCAGGGACAGTATGAAAGAATGTTCTGGGTAATGGAACATGCTCAGTGCCAGCTGTGTGGAAAGCACATTTTGTATTCTGCCCCAAGTTGGGCCTCTTTGGGGACGCAATTAGGACCAACAGAGAACCATGTGGTATACAGTAAAACATAAAGTCCCAGCCCTGTCAGCCCAGACCCAGGCCCCACAGGTGCAGTGTAGCTTGAAGAACGAGAGGAAGAACATGCTGACCTGGCTTGTTCCTATTCCTTGGGACTGGCGTCTGTGGAGCAGGGCTCCCTCGAGGGGCCTGGTCTGCCCTCCTCCTTGTGGCAAGTCCCCTGGGGGTGCTGAGGGCGGCAGAGGCTGATAGCCCAAGCTGCTGGCCTTGGGCCTGAGGACAGGGAACAAGGGCCCATTGTCTGGGCTTCCTCCCACCGGGCACTGCGAGCCTCAGACTAGCCTATCCAGCTCCCAGCAGGCAGCCTTTCCTGGCATTGTGCCAGACTACAGCCACGATGGAATGGCAGGGGCTGAGGCTCATCCTGACCATGATGTTCCCCCCCATAGGACCATGAGCCCTGGAAATCCTCAGATAAAATCTGTCGACAGCTCATCTACCACCTCACCCCTCACTCCAAACGGCAGCCCCGCAGGAAAACCCAGAGCAGGTAAGGAGACTCCAGCCACAGCTCCTCTCCACTGTCAACACTGTCCTTCAGGTCCCTTCTCAGGCCAGTACCTGAACTTCTCTGAGTGGGTGGGTATGTAAAATCTCACCTTTCATCTGTTTTTGTTTTGTTTTCTTTGTCTTTTTGAGACAAGGCCTCTCTGTAATCCCAGTTGGCCTGGAATTCACTATGTAGACCAGGCTGACCTTGAACTCACAGAGATCCATGTGCCTCTGCCTCCCGAGCACTGGGATTAAAGGCATGTGCCACCATGCCTGATTACCTTTCATCTGTTTTATGACTCCAGCCCTGGCAACCAGCCTGGCTCACAGTAACAGATGCCCCTAAGCCAAGCAGCATGCTCCATCTAAGTTACTTCCCATTTCCTGTAGGACAGTGACACCGCCTACCATTCACTGATCCCTCAATCCATGGCCCTTTCTTAGGGCCCTAGACTTCCTTGGGTTCCAGTTACATCAGGTAAAATCTTCTTATGGACACAGATTCTGGGAATCCCATTTTACAGGGAAGAAAATGGTGTCAGGAGGAGCAAAGTGGCCTGCCTAAGACCATACCTTCCCTGATTATCCTGCAACCCTTTTAGAATCCATCAACACCAGGCTACCTGATTCAGAGACCTCCATAGCTTCCTGATAGCACACTATGCTGTGGGGTTCCCTATTTGGTCATAGCATCATAGTTTCATGATACAGTCTCAGCCTGTAACTGGATACAGGTAACTAAACTTAGAGGTCTAGAACCACAGCTTGGAGCTGACTCTAGCACATGTTCCCTATTTAACCACCACCGCCCCCGCCAGCCCGCCTGGTCCCATCTCGGGTCTGGTGGTCCAAGGTGAATCCAGAGCCCATGAGATTGTTCCCTGCCATGGCAGGTGGGACCCTGACAATGTGCTCACTGCTCTCGGTACCCTACTACCCAAATCAGGCCTTTCTGCCTAGAGGGCTGCATAAAGGACAGGAGAGAGAGCACAAAGGGCATGGGAGAAGTGGGGGACACTTCCTCAGCCTCTAAATGCTCCTTCTAGCTTAACATAGGGAGGCCTCCCCACTAGAAATTCCTAACCCCACATTACCCAATTCCCCTTTTACTATCATGGGTCTGTCCCCTCTCAATCCCCTGAACACTGAGGGGACCTGGCTGATCCCACATTTCTTCATAGCAAAGTTTTTCCTTATCCGTTAGCTTTAGTACACAGCTTCAAAAGGGGTACAGAGAAAAGAATATACACTCAGGAATCAGAGCATCTTGATTTAGAGTTCTGGTCCCCATGTAGTAATATGCAGCCAAAAAAAGAATTTTTTTCCCCTGCTCTTAGCTCTCTGAGAGTGGGAAATCACTTCTACCTCCTTGGGCTGTCATAAAAATAAGTTAAGATTGGGGTTTGACAGATGGCTCAGTGGTTAACAGCACTGGCTACTCTTGCAGAGGACTGGGGTTTAGTTCCCAGCACCCACATGGTAACTAACAACTGTCTGTAACTCCAGTTCCAGGGAATCCAATGCCCTCTTCTGACCTCTGAAAGCATTTCATGACATGGATGCACTTACATACACTCATGCAAAACACTCATACACATAAAAATAAGATAAGATTAGCAAATGTAACTGTTGTGGTGATCCTGGGCACACGGCAAGGTTTTACAATGATAATAGTTTGTGCACAGAGCCTTAATGCCACAGTCCTCACAGCAACCCTGTCTTCTTTTCATCAAAGGGGAAACTGAGTTCAGAGAGGTCCCCAGCATTGCCTATCGCTACCAACTTAGAAAGTAGCAGTTCAAACCAGGCTTTGCCAGACTGGTGGGCCAAGACTGCCCTGAATGAGTCACTGTGGTGGCTGGGGTGCTGTCTGGCTCTGGGCCCTTGTTCAGTCCACCCACCTGTATCCCTCCATAGCCTCAAGAGCAGCCTTCAGAAGACTCTGCTGGCGGGGGAGACTGTGGACCTTTCTGGCATCCCACTGTCAGCCCAAGATGTGCAACACATAACACGCTACCTGGTCAGTCATGGAGCTGAGCTGGCAGTCTTAGACCTGAGCTTCACAGATCTGAGCGATGAGCTGTTGCACCTGCTGCTACCCAGCCTGTGGGCACTGCCCCGCCTCACCCAACTACTGCTCAATGGCAACCGACTGACACAAGCTGCTGCCCGTGAGCTCACTGAGGCCATCAAAGACACCACCAAATTCCCTGTGCTGGCCTGGGTGGATCTGGGCAATAATGTCGATGTGGCCTCACTTCCCCAGCCCCTGCTGGTTGGTTTGCGTCGGCGACTGAGCCAGCATACCTCACTCCCCACCATCTATGAGGGCCTGGACCTCGAGCCTGCAGGTAGCCTGGCTGGGCACACTGCTGCTTCAACCTGGGGCTCTGCAGCTGCTGACCCAGGGCCTGATGCCCAGGCTTGCTGTGCCAGGTGACTTAGTTACTGGCCTGGCTCATTGCTACTGACTGAGGATGCTCTTAAGAACCAGGTCCAGGAGGTCCCATGGAAAGCCAGTGAAAATGCTCAATTGGGAATGAAGGGGGTGGAAGGAGAAGGGTTTCATAGGAGACAAGACAGACAGTCCAGGCTAGAGGCTCCACCTTGCCCAGCAGGAGGGGCCCCAGCTTCCACAGCCCAGACCTTCCAGTAAAGGGTAGTACCCCTCACCTCAGCCTTTCTGCATTGTAGACCTCAGACTCTCAGCCCTACTGCTGAGATAGAGAAGCCCCATCTGCCCAAGAGGGGTGGACCACAGTCATGCTGACTTTCCCCTAGTATTCCCTGGCAAGGCTCCAATGGAGACTGAGATGTAGGGAGTCATGGGTTCAACTGTGTGGACTGGGGAGTTGGAAGAGGCCTGATGTCTGGGCAGGATTTAGGCTCTGTACATGTGGGAGCTGCAGGGGAGCAGGTAGGGAGCTGGAGACAGGCAGAGCTCTGCATGGAGCCCCACAGCAAGTACAATCAGGGCCCTTCAGTGTGCTTTGAGCTGGGCACAAGGCTTCACTGACCAGAGCCAAGGCCACAGTAGACCTGAGTGGGTTGAATGGATACTTGTCTCCTAAGTATCCCCAGGCCCATCCCCTAGGCCTCTTGTATTGGGGGGTATGCGACTCAGCAGGGTGAGGAGATGCATTTGGCTGTGTGTTTCCTCCAGTCCTGGAGTCACACACAACATGCAAGGAGTGGAGGTAGGCCCAGCCAGCAGCAGGAGTCCTCAGGGCAGAACAGTCCTAAGGATACCTCTACATAAGGTACTGTCTTCCTTCTGCTCCAAATCCCTTAAGGTGGGCTCCCAAGTAGAAACCTATGTCTGGTCACCTTTATTGCCTCACATATGGAAGTAGAGGTTAGCTCAATCAGCAGACAGGCACAGCAAGTGAGGAAGGCAGCCCAGAGTGGGAAAGCCAGTGGTCTAAGGCCCCTGTGCAGAGCCAGGACAAATGGGCCTGGTGGCTGTGGTGAGATCTAGTAAGAGGGCAGCCCCATGGTCAAGAAGAAAGCTGAGGTGACTTTGGATCCTTTTACCCCTGGCCCCCAAGTTCTGACTTCTCCCCATGCCCCACCTCTGTCTCCAAGTAGACTATGAGCAGTACATCCAGCCTCCATGAAACATAGATTCCAGCACATCCCCAGACAAGCAGGATGCATAAGAGCCTCCCAGGATACTAGGGTGACCAAGAAGGGAAAAGACAGGGTCACTGTCATGTCTTAGGAATGGAAAGCAGTGATGAGGAAAGGGATCTTCCCTCAAGCTCCACTGCTTGTCAGGAGGCAGTGAAAGAGCACAGGTCCAGCTGGCTGTACTCACCACTGGCTGGGGGACCTGGCCAGGCCGGTCTGTTTCTTAGCCTTGGACCTCAGCTTTCTCCTCACTGCTAAACAGAACATACTGTCTCTAACCCTTCTGCTCTCAGCGCTTCATCCTGAAGCTCTAACCACATCTGCCTCCTCTGTTTAAAGACATGGCCTGGAGCCATGAAAGCTTTCCTGTGCCCCATCTAGTACAGGGGTTTGTGCTTCCTGGAGCCCCATAAAGTAGGGTGGAATATGGGCCAGCAGAGAGAAGGAAGGGAGGACCAGCCTTGGCCTAGCAACCTGATAAACCCTTTACACGCGCAAGCAGCTGAGTTCTCCCTGTAATTCCTCATTGGACAAAATCCAAGCTCTGCGTCTCTCCTGCCCTCCTCGCTCCCTGCCCACATTTGGCCTCAAGCCAGCCCACAAACCTTTGGATGTCACTGTGCAGAGATGCTGCTAGGATAATGACCGAGGACCAGAGCCAAGTGTCCCTGGCGGGTTCCTGAAGAATCCAGGTGGCATGTGACGCAGCAGCTGAGCCACAGTCTGAGGCAGCTGAGGAGATGTGGCCTTGCTGCTGTCCAAGTGTCCCTGGCCCTTCACGAAGCTATCATGACCACCAGCAAGGAGACTCTGTGGGCAGGGACAGAGAGCACCAGAAGTGAGGGATGTGCTTTGTCTTAATCTGTTTTGTACTTCTATAACAGAATACCATAGCCTGGGCAATTTATAAACAACAGAAGTTTATTTGACGCATGGTTCAGAAGTCTGGGAAGTCAGATGGAAGGACTACATCTGGTGAGGGCTTTCTTGCTGTGTCATTGTATGACAGAAGCATCACATGGCCAGAGAGCACATGAGGGGGCCCACTGTGGCAATAAGCACTTCTGTTCATGAGCACAGAGTCCTGACCAAATCGTCTCCTAAAGCATATCTCAAGCCTGTGGGTTTCAACACATGCACTTTGAAGGATGAATTTGAAGCATATTATGCCTCATACAGCCTGGTGGGGCAGAGGACACTGGCCAGGAAAGTTCTGGTCAGGAGTGTGCCCACCAGAGCTGCAGACCGAGGAGGAGGAGGCATGTGGGCCTTACCCAGGCCAGTCTTGGAGGCAGACAAACCCATCCTGGTCTTCTCCCTCCTTCTGGGAACTAGGTACAAAAACTGTCCTTATCCTGCTGAAGTGAGGATGAGATAAGGTTTGGAAAGGGCCTACCATATGAGGTACACAGGCAGGCACACTACAATATCATTTGGGGCCATCACCCAGGCTCTCTGTGTAGTAATGTTTGGAAGGAGCTAGGCAGTATGAAAGTATTTGTTTATTATTTGTTTATTATTTATTTATTTATTTATTTATTTAGGTGTTGGGAATTAAAGCCTGGGCCTCAAGCATATAGGCAAGTGCTCTACCACTGAGCTCTATCTCCAGCCCTCTTCTTATTTACTTCCTTATTATCTCTTTAGCCAGGGTCCTGCTATGTGGTCTAGGCTAGCCCTGAACTCCACTAGTCATCCTGAATCCACCTCCTGAGTGCTGGAATCATACGTATGTAGCCTTGTGCCTGGCACAATTTTTTGAGAATCCAGAGTCACAGCCAACTGAGCTCTGTTGCTGTTATCATCAACCCAGCACCGAGGTTTTCTCGGGGACCTGGGTGGGGAGGGTGAAGAAAGCACACTGTTCCTCAGAGATTGTTGCCGATCACCACCACCAAAAACAGCCAATATTTTCTTCCCAACTGCAAACTTTATTTTTGTTTTTTGAAAACAGTGATTTATTTTAAAAGTAAGCTTTGAGAAGCTAGGTATAGTGGCACATGCCTGTGATCCCAGTGCTTAAGAGACGGAGGCAGGAAGATCAGGAGTTCAAGGCCAGGTTTGGCTATATAGTAAGTACAAGGCTAGCTGGAGTTGCATGAAATCATGCCTCAAACAACAACAAAAATCTTCATTGTGATATAAATATAATAAACATACTGTTAGAAGTTTAAGGTGTGCAATATGTTTTGCCATATTAATACATCCATGAAAATCATGGTAGTGAATGTATTTGTCACCCCCAAGTTTCCTTCCCTTCCACCCCTCTCTGCCCCTATAGATTTGTTTACATTTTCTAGATTTGGAATAATTTATGGAATCCTACGTGCGCTCTCTTACATATTTCTCAAAGCAGCATAATTATTTTGAAATTCATCTATGTAATACATCATTGTACACATCAATGTTTGCTTTTTGAATCATCTTTCATCAGGTGGATGTGCCACAGCTTATCCATGCACCTGTTGATGGACATTTGGTTGTTTCCAGGCTCTGGCTGTCATAGATAAAGCTGCTATGAAAATTCATTCACTGGTTTTGGCGTGAACACTTCCTTTTCTCTTGAGTAAATACCTAGAAATGTGTATCAGTCGTCTTTCATTGCTGTGAGTAAACATCTAAGAAAAACAAGAGAGAAGAAGTTGTTTTGGTTCATGATTTCAAAGGTGTTGCTCCGTAGCCACTTGGCCCTATAGCCCTGGATCTGAGAGAAGGCTCAACATGGCAGAGTGTGTGGTGGAGCAAAGCCATTCATTCCTGGTTGCTGGGAAGGCAGGGGAGGGGCAGGATACAACTTCAGTGACATACTTTCTTCAGCTATGACCAACATTGCCCATCCAGTTATAGGGTCACCAGTGGATTAACCTATTGATGATCCAGTCACCTCTGTATAGTCCCCAGCTTCCAACCAAGCCTTCACTCCATCAGCTGCATCACCACATTTGGGAAATACAGCTCATATTCAAACCATAATAGAATAGAATGGCTAGATTTAAAGAAATTATCAAAGGGCTGGAGAGATGGTTCAGCAGTTAAGAGCACTGACTGCTCTTGCAGAGGACTTGGGTTCAGTTTCCAGCACCCACATGGTGGATAACAACCGTCTGTAACTCCAGTTCCAGGGAATCCGACACCTTCTCTGGCTTCCGTGGGCTTTCCATGACATGGGTGCACTTACAAACATGCAGGCAATATACTCATAAAATAAAAATAATAAAATTATTTTAAGAAACTATCAAATTGACTTTCAATGTATTTATTAAAGTTCACATCCCTACAAACAATGTATAACTCCTCCTATTTATGGTTTCTAATTTAAAAATTATTTATTATTAGTGTATATATGGGTACCCATGCCATGGCACATGTGTGGAGGTCAGGGGACAACTTTGTGGAGTTCTTTCTTTCCACCTTTACATGGGTTCCAGGGATCAAACTCAGGCCTTTTGAGATTTTTCTCCTTACCACTTGTTTTGAGTTATGATATGCATGTTCCTCATGTTTCGTTTGCTTGGAGCTCATTTAGCTTCTTGGATCTATGGGCTTAGATTTTATCAAATTTGGAAAGATTTTGGATATTATTTATTCAAATAAATTTTTTATCTTTCCCTTGGACACTCCAGTGTCCATATGTGGGGCCGCTTGAAGTTACCCCACAGCTTACTCTTCTTCCAACTTTTCTTTCTTTATGTTTAAATTTTGGGTAGTTTCTTTGTTTCTTTTAGTTATGCTCTCAAATTCATTACTTTAGGTTTTTTTGTTTGTTTGTTTGTTTTTTTAGCTTTCCTGGGGATTGAATTTAGGGCTTCCTGTATTATAGGCAAGCACTCTACTGCTGAGGTACATCTCCAGCCTTATTATTAACACACTCTATGTAGCCCAGGCTGGCCTTGAACTTACTATGTATTGGAGGATGACTTTGAACTCCCAACTCTCCTACCTCCATCTCTTGAGTACTGGGATTACAGGCATGTGCCACCATACCATACCTGACTTCATTTTTACCTTTTGAGACAGGGTGTCATTATATTACCTAGGCGGTCTTTGAACTTGTGATCTTCCTGCTTCAGCCTCCTGAGTAAAGATCACAAGCTTGAGCTACCAGGCCCAGCTTTTAAACTTTTCTTTTAAAAATATTTTACTATTTTTATTTTATGTGTATGAGTGTATTGCCTGAATGTGTGTAAGTGTACCCATGTCATACAGTGCCCATAGAGGTCAGAAGAGGGTGTTGGATTCCCTGGAACTGAAGTTTTGGATGGTTGTTAGCCACCATGTGGGTGCTGGGAATTGAATCTGGGTCTTCTGCAAGAGCAGCTAGTGCTCCTAACTCCTGAGCCATCTCTCCAGCCCATTAAACTTTTCTTATGAAATGATTAATCTGCTTGTTTTTAAGCTCACCCAGAAATTCTACTTGAGTTTCTCTTCTCTCTTCCTTCCAATCCCCTTCCTTTCAAAACTCTCTACCTAACTGTTTGAATACATGGAATGTAGGTAACAGTCCTTTTAATGCCATTCTCTGCTAATGGATGCTGTATCAGCTTTGAATTTCTTTGCTTACTCTCCTCATTGTTGGTTATGGTTTCCTGCTTCTCTGCATACCTAGTAATTTTTTTTTTTTTTGGTCTTTTTTTTGAGACAGGGTCTCCCTGTAGCCCCAGCTGTCCTGGAACTCACTATGTAGACCAGGCTGGCCTTGAACTCACAGAGATCCGCCTGCCTCTGCCTCCCGAGTGCTGGGATTAAATGCATGCGCCACCATGCCCAGCCAAAATGTGTTTTGTTTTATTAAAGGTATGCGCCACCATACCTGGCCTTAGTAATTTTTTTATGCCTAGTAATTTTTGTTTGGATGCCAGACTTTTTTTTTTTTTTTTTTTTTTTTTTTTTGAGATGGGACCTCTGTCACTATGTAGCCCTGGCTGGCCTGGAGCTCACTATGTAGACCAGGCTGGCCTTGGCTTTGAATTCACAGAGATCCACCTGCTTCTGTCTCCCAAGTACCAGGTTTAATGATGTGCACAGTACTCCTGGCTCAGACATTATTTACCTAGATGCTGGATATTTTGATATCGCTATTTTTTTTTTTTTTTTGAGGCAGACCTTCCCTCTAGCCCAGGCTGACCTGGTCATTATCCTGCATCTCAGGCTGGCCTAGAACACACCTGGATCCTACAGGCATGAGCCACCACACCCAGCTTATTCTGGGATACATTTACTTGAACTAGAACAACAATTTGATCCTTTCAAGTCTTGTTTTTACGGCTTGTTAGGCAGGTCCACAGCAGTGCTAGTCTAGGGCTAATTGCTCCTCTTTATGAGACAAGATCTTCTTGAGTAGTTGTCATTAATTATTTTTGTTTTTCAAATGTAACACCGTCTTTATTTTTCAGTTATTAAATCAGTCAAATAATAATTTAGTGCCAAAGTATTACTTATACATATAACCACATGTAACAGCATGCAATTTTACTTGAAAAATAAATAATGAAACATTAATTCACTTACATGTTGTCCATAACACCGATAATCTGTGGGGTGTGCGTGCGCGATGCTTGCGTTTGTGTGTGCGTGTGTTGTGCCCTACTCATCACTTACTCTCTTATTTCCTTAGACAGGGTCTTTCACTGAACCTGGTGCTAGGCTGGCAGCCAGCAAACGCCAGCATCCTGTGTACCCCTGAATCCAGCACTCCTGTTGGAGGCTTGCATGGCCACATCCAACTTTTTACTTGGGTGGTAGGGATTTGCACTCAGGTCTTCATGCTTGCACAGCAAGTGTTTTTACCCACAGAGCAATTATCCCAGCTCTGATGGGCTTTCTGAAAAAGTGCTTTGTTTTCTGAAAGTTTTGTTGTTTTTCAAAGAATAAAAAAACATTTGAAAAGACTGAACCCTAACAGTGACACTTAGAAGTCACATCATGTTGGGGCTGGAGAGGTGGCTCAGCAGTTAAGAGCACTGGCTACTCTTGCAGAGGACCTGGGACTGATTCCCAGCATGTACATGGTGGCTAACAACCATCCCTAACTCTAGTTCCAGGGGACCTGATGCCCTTTTCTGATCTCTGCAGGCATTGCACAACATGGGTGCACTTAGATACATGCAGGGAATATACTCATACACATAAAAAGAATAATTTTTTACATTGTTTAATAACCACATACTTAGAAGAAGCATTTCATTAGTACAGGATTGGAATATTCAATAACAATTTCCAGAGCTAAGATGGATATCTTTCAAAATTGGATGTAAATTTTTAGGTTTACAGTTGAATTATTAGTTACCCCTCCAGATGGTTCATTTAAATATTCGTGAAGCACTGCTTTTATGATAAGTCTTACTACTCACAAGAGGAAAAATGCAGTTGCTCCCCTAAGGAGCTCAAAAAGAGGAAATGGAGATAGACATCCACTTAATCATAACAACAGGGCCTGATACCTGCAGTGGTCAGGCACTGACAGGTACCAAGGAAGGGTGTGTTCCTCCAAGTGGACCAGAAAGAGAGAGGT